AACATACATTAGGAAGCTGGTGCGGAAATAATATGACATGACTTTTATATGTTTTGCAACACTATTTTTATGAAATTTCTTATGTGCTGTCTGAGGAGGTACCCCTGCAAGACTATAGCAGAGGTCAGAAATCCTGAAATCTAATTCCAGTCCTAATGATTCCAGCCAGTGTTATGAGGCTTGAACTCGGCATACCTAGCTTCAGATGACTGAAGAAATTTTGCCGAGCTCGGAGCACAGACCCTTTGGCTGTTCGTTGCACTTTCAAAAGTAGTTCAGATCTGAGATGAATCCACAGGTGGCTTTATCTGAAAAGGTCATCTTGGTCAGTCTCATTTAAGTACCTAAAATTAGGTGAGATGAATCTAAGCTAGAATGAGTCATCATGTGATTTAGAAGAAAATTAGCATTATTAGCCATTGGGGCAAAATGTTTCTGGATACGGCAAAGTCGCTCACAAAAAATAGCCAGTAATTCAACCAGCAGGTCTGGATGTAGTGCAAGTATTATCTTATAATACTCTCATTGATGTTATTTTTGACCAGCATTATCCAGTGGATGATCTTAATGGTATCTTTGGTGTAAAAGGTTGATGCTCATAGCTTCAAAATTGACTGCTGATCTGGGATTTCAGATGCCTGCTTTGGAAACTCTGAGATACTTGGGAACAACTTTATGTCAGTGGATAGAACTTAGATTTGATCAGAGCCTTCGTTCCACTTGTAGAAGGTAACCCGAAGTCCAGTTTTTCAGAGCTGATAAGCATCCGCTGCCCCTCCTGAAGTCAGGAGAACACTTAGCTACATACACTTCCGATAATCAGGTCAAAGCCTAATATGTTTCAGTGTGAGATATTCAAAAACTGAAGTACAGAAAATTAGTAGCTATTGTGAAACTGATCTCTTCCTTATGTGTAAAACCTGTACTGTTACAAAGAAACAAACTGAGGATATAAACTTCTAAAAAAGAAAACTCTGAGCTCTGCATTTCTTTCCTATTACTCTTTGAATATTGTTTATTTGACGTCACATATTTTCTTGCCTCCCTCTCCTTTTTTATTTTAATTGAGACCTTGTTATTGGCTGGAAATTCCACTAGCATGACTCATCCCTGCACTGAAGATGACTGAACAGGCATCGCATTGTGGGATTTACTCCCCCTGCCTTTTTTCTAAGTGCTTTACTGTGGAACGAGCTTGTAATAATAAACTAGGAAGGAAGTTGGAGCCAATCATTTGGTTCTGAATGCACAAACCCTGCCAAATTTCCCCACAGGCATGAAACAGCCGCTCAAGCTGTGACACCAGCAAATTAAATCCTGGAGGTAGCTGACCAGAAGTAATGAAATGTGTATTTACCATACTGATGCTGTCAGTCCTAAGACACACTGGCTTTACAATCTAGTTAAGTGGGGCATGTTTGTCACTTCCATGGTGCTCAGAAAAAGTACTGGGTTTATCCTAGCCTTCTTCCCAAAATCTCAAGCCCAGTGCTGGCTGATAAGCCTCACCTCATATAACATGAAGAAAAGGATACGTGAAATGGTCTGTTCTTTTAAAACGCTACCAAAGTGAAATACATATTCCCCAAGGGAGATAAATGATCTAGTCCTATGGCATGTTGATTGTCAAGCCTTTTATTCATCCCTTTTCTGTCTCTTCATTTTACAAACCAAACCTTAGTGCTAAAATGGAAGGATAGAAGTTATTTCAAGAGACAACAGATGCCTCGCAAAACCCATGTGTGCTATGCATGCAGCAGCCTAAAAGCCTAGGCATACAGGTGTGTGGGAGAGGATCATATCATCCTCATCATATCAGAATAGATGTTATTCAAAGAAGATGTGCATTATGCAGGTGGGTGCAAGTATGGGATGGATGAGCCACACAACAAATGAGATACACCACTCAAGAAATGCGTGTCCATCATGCATGCAGAGGTTTAAAAGGATCTGGGCACTGGCACATGAAGGAGGGAGGCTACCGTTTTACGGTGCCCACATACTTAGGTGATAACTGACTCAGTTATTTTCCCCCATCAGGTCTCATCATAGGTAACAACAGCAGATGTATGTGAGGTTTCTACATATTTAGCTAGTGCCAGCATATTATGCGAGTTGTCTGAGATCTATTGCAGCAGGTTAGCAGATCATCTGCTGAACAGTACTTACTATGAACTCCAGAAAACACTGTGAGGCGGAGAAATAAAAGTATATAGTCTTTGATGTGCTGAATACAATACCCATGGAAGAATCAAAGAATAAAATCACACCCCATATGAGCAGTCTGAAAGCATCTAATTATATCCTAGGAATATCTGTAACTCTGCAATTATATGCTTAATTTCCAGCTGTACTTGATTAACATCACAAATGATTTTATAATACCACCTAACACACAGAACTTGCTTTGAACTGTTTGTTGGCATGTATAAATTTGTTGGGCTCTTTTGTGTGTTTCTTCATAGCAAGGTAGGCAAATTGGGTTAGTATTCCACGGTTCAGTTAGTTCTAGAGATAACAGTTAACTTTGTTCTAGTGAAGCATTTAAATGTAAGTCTATGGAAGGTCAAAACCCACTGATGTCTGTGGGATTATACATATACTTCAAGGTTATTATGCAGTTGTAACCTTGCTGAATCAGTGCTGTCTTTCTTTGCTTGGTCTTGGAGGAAAACGTTGCTTTCTGTGGGAGGGCAGCACACATGCCTCTGAAAGCAAGTCTGCAGATGCACCCTTTCTTCCGTCTCCCCATGCAAGAAGAGCTGAAGTACGAATTGTTCCAAATTTTGTTAGTGAGAGGAGAATGGGGAGGAAGAAGGATAGCAGGACTCCCAATTTTTTTGAGCAACTCTAAATATAATACTCAGTTAAAGGTCTGAATCTTTTGGCCTGTCATACTGTGTGGATCCAAGTGCTGCATCAGGATTTAAAGCAAAATGCAAACACTTGAAATGTGGTATTTTGATCTACGCAAAGGGTAAGCAATGTTGAATTCAATTGGTATTAAGGCAAACAAATGTAAGCTTTTGCATAACTGTGGTCTTAGATGGTAAGCCTTTTTGAGCAATTGCTGTGCCATATGTGAAACGTTACCAAAACCTTCACAGTAAAATACTCATCTATTGATAACTTTGGCTTGACAGCTATAAGTCTTTTTTTTTTTTAAGAGACTAATCAAAGCATACCTCAAATCAACGGCTGAAGCTGAATTCCCTCTATTTGTAATCTTAGGTTTGAGGTATTTAGATTTGGGGGTCCTGCTTAGGCTGAACTTACTATGCACTAGCTACCTTGTTCTCATGTTGAGACAGAACAGTGGTTTTGCTTAGATCCCTTCTTCTCAAGCCTATTATTTCAGTATCTCTGGTGGTAGACATCTCTGCATTAATTAAACTTAGGGAATATTTTCAAACTTTTACAACCATGAGTGCCTGCTGAAGTGGGTTACAGGGCTAAAATATTAGATATCCTGAGTGGGCGGTCCGGGAATCTTGCCTTGTACTGTCACTTATAAGTTCTGTACTCTGCATAATCTAGCCAGCTCTTTGTGTTTTACCATCAATATTAAAATATTTACATGTTTTTACCATATAGTCCCAGTTTGTGAAGTAATTTCATTTTAAGGTAATTTCAGATATTATTAAATAACAAAGTCTCTGATTCTTATGATAGCTGCGGAAATTTAGAGAATATGACCTTACATACACTGTAAAGTCTCAAAGTCCAATAATAAAGGTGTGAACATATGTAAAGGCAAAGAACTGTTGTTTAAAGCCTCACAATTTTAAACCTTTCTTTTTAAATGCCAGGAGTTGGCAATAACGTATGTGTGAATCTCAAATAGGGAACCCTGCTTCTGGAGCATTATTTTGTATTATTTTTATGGCAGAATCCCTGCTAGACAAAGCTACAGGAAGACAGGAGGTAGCCAAGCTGCTAAAATTAATCTCTGAAGGAAGCGTCCAGCTCTGTGGTACAGGAACAACTTTACTCGATGAATATAGCACAAACTGGCCATGGCTACACGCCCTGCCCTCCAATCTCAGCCTGTGAAGTATAAAGGAGGAAGAGGGTACTGTGGAGTTGGGAATAGAAAATATCATATATCACAGTGGGGGTAAAAAAAATTATAAGTATCAATGTGGCCTAATAAACAGAAAAGGCAATGGTTGATGTAAGCTTGAACTTGTCCTTCTCATTAATTACTGTGAATCTGTTTTGAAAATCCTGTAGAGAGCAAGTGCTTCTGGCTGACTGCTGGTTTGCAATTAATAAAACAAAAGTGTTTTCAGCTGGCAATGACTGATCATGCTCATGATATATGAAAACAAGGTTAAATTGCTTCATTTTCTCTCTATGACTAATAAAAGAAATACTGAAAATGTAAAGTGCCAACCAAAGCCATGAACATAGTGCCTAATCCTGAGGGCTGCTGATCACCTGACACTTGCTGGAGCAGGCATATTTGGAAATGCTTAGTCAGTGCCAAAAATTTTTCTTCAGCTGCAGCTTCTTAAAATGTATTGGCTTCAAGAATATATGATCCTGTGTCTGCAACGCATAGGAGTCTTGATTTAATCAGCTTTCTTTTTTTGTATTTAATGACTTAACTATTACACTTTGTGGCTTTATTGGAAATCCTCTTGCCATTGATGCTTCTTTTCACCTTGTTCTTCTGCTCTTCTCCACCCCTCATCAGGAAACCATGGTGCAGGCTTTGTTCCTCAGGTTTTAAAAGGTAATATGGCCAGAGCATCAGAAAGCATGTAGTAGGAACCAGGTAGAGGGACTGGCCTAATAGTCAGATGCGCATGGACTTCAGCTGATTGTGAATTTTATTCTAAAGAAACTGCTAGGATTTGATGTTAGCTCTCTTGTGGAATACAAGATGTAACTTTGTCACAAAGATAACTTGAGCATCTTACGAGTATCAAACGAAATGGGCAAAAAGTAAGCAATGGCTTTTACCTCAGTAAAATCTTTTTATTCTTGCTTTGTAGAATGCAGAACCTTTCCAAGTTACTGTCCGAGAAGACAATTGTATCATTGTCTCCCTGGAAGCGTCTGATGTGGTGAGCTCATCCTCTGTATATGTTGTGAAGATAGCTGGAGAATCCAAGAACTACTTTTTCCAGTTTGAAGAATTCAATAGCACTTTACCTGCCCCTGTGGTTTTTAATGCCAAATACCATGGCCTATATTACATAGTAACTCTGTTGGTAGTGAACTCAAATATGGTTTCCAAGTCAGCAAGATCAATCACTGTGTTAACCAGTAAGTAACACCTTATTCTTTTTTTCTTCTGTTTCTTCTCTTTGTATGTGTGTATTTTTTTTTAACATAAGTTCTCGTGGAGAAGTTTTGGTTTTTTTTTTTATATAGGTCCTTCTTGTATGTAGGATGAATCCCTATGTGAGAAAAGTAGGAAAGCTGTGCTGAGAAGGCTTATAAGTGAAAATTTGCAAGGTCTGGGCAAGAGGAAGGGGGCAACTGTAGGTTTCCCATGGGTAGCCCTTCCTAAACATAAACTGAAGAGGTTTATTGCACTGGAATAGGTGGGATTTTTCTTCTCCAGATGTTCATCTTAAACGCTGTGAACTGGAGATTCCCAAAACGTAGTAAAAGGCTCAAAAAGTATTGACTGACTTTTCAGTGTAAGCAGACTTGTTACATGTTGAGGTACTTTCTGTTCTAGATGTCATAACAATGTTCTTTGTTTGCTAATATGTTGAAGTAGTAGTATTTCAGTAACATGAATAGCAGGCAGTAGTCACCAAGACCATGTGTTTCTGGCAGCACAGCTGAAGATTTTTGTGATGGAGACCATATTTGGAGTAGTCTGTCTCTTACTACCTCCAGGTGCTTTGATCCTGGGGGACAGGTGTGATTTTACTTACTCTGTCATCATGAGAAGCACCACAGATTCCTGTTGGATTTCTAACTCTACTGTCACTCCAGCACCGCTTATGCGTGCCAACCTGAAAACAATTTGTAGAGGATAAAATGATCCCTTCATCTGAAGGACAGATTCCAAAGAAACAAGATAAAGAAAAAAAAAATTATAGAGGGGTAAAATCAGTTTCCAGATCTTGTTCTGTTATAAACCTGGGCTTAATCTAATTCACAGTTGGGTTTCTGTGGTGAATTATTGCTATATACCAACATGCTCACCCTTTGTCATTGTACAATGGGAGGCTGATTAATACCTCCGTTATCCAAATGTAAAGGTTCTGGAGGGAACTTTTTGATAATGAGTATATTTTTTGGTCAAATGGCACCTGAAAATCTATGGACAGTTGTATTTGGCTTGCAGATAAGAAATGGTTATGATTTTGTGTACTTATTATTCTATGCGCAAATACCATCTACTGTAATAAGACTCTTAAAGAATATTACAATAGCTTTATTTGCTACCAAGTGAAGTACTTGCAGTTTAGGAGATATCAGATTTTGTGTCATCCATACAGTCTTAGTCTTCCCTTGTGTGTTCGGGCTGTGCACCAACAGGGACAACCAAGATGAGTCCCAGGGAAAAAAATGTCATGTGATTAAGTAATACAGTCCGTCATTAGGCATATGTATAAGAACATGTATGTGCAGTGGGCAACTTAAGGCTTCATAGGCAGCCTGAATTTCCTCTTCTTTGACTACTTTAACCTTGCAGCTGATGTAATAATTCTAATCTAATTTCCTATTTTATGTGGGTTTTTTTTTTGTTTAAAGAAAATAGTGGAAGCATCAGCTGTGGCACATAACTGAATGAATGCCTCACCATGCGTTTTCAGCAGCTTTTGAATCCTGCCCCAGTGACTGTGCAGCAGGACTCTTTATAATTTGATTTCCAGAGCTCACTAGGGTCACTGCAGCAGGGGAAGGTGTCATCCAGGATGGCAGATGGAGCACAGAACGCCTGTGTAGGCAGTCCCTGAAGGGAGAAGGGAACCAGCGTCACCCAGCTCATCAAAGCCAGGCCCAGAAGTCCCATTTCCAGCTCTGGGGGGGGTTTCCATGAGGTGTTCTGAAAAGAGTGTGAAGCTGCTGGCTCCAAGGAGCATACCCCATGCTGCTCTCACTCCTCCGAGTAAGGTTTAACGCTGTCCAAAACCAGGTTGTGCACTGCATTTCAGATCGGAAATGAACCTGCCTTTTTTCACCACCTGTCTCATGCGTGTGCTCTGGCAGCTTTTCAGGGTTTGCTGCTGTGGCCTCTGCTGCTTACCCAGGCCTTGGGATGACTGCTGATCTTAGCAGTTGGCCAACACTGCTTGAGGAACTCGTATAAGAAAAAAGAAATAGTGAATTTCATAGTTTATGTCTCAACAGAAAGACGATCAGGTTCATGGAAAAGAAAAAGCACTTTTGCATGCAACAGTAAAAGTATGCTGTCCTAAGCATTAAAGATATGCAGTAAATTCTGAGCTTCTCAAGGTAAAGGGCCCAATATTCCTTCCTAATGTTTTCTTTTAGGCAAAGTAATGAGTGCTAGCTCTCCTATGGCAGGTTTAGCTACTAACATAGTAGTTACCCTTTTGAGTAGAAGGGTGTAGGAATGAAAGTAAATGTGGAATAAAAAGACAGTGTAGCAGGCTGAGCTTTTTAATGGCATTTCAATACAATGCTTTTGAGAAGAATCCTTCAAATTGACCACTGGTTTCTACTGCAAAACTGCATTAGATAATATTTGGTTTCTTTGTTTTTTTTTTTTTTTTCCCTATTATTGCTGTGGTCCACTTGCCTGCTCCACATGTTTTTTCTGACTATTGAATAACTTGAATGTTGGCAGATAGTACAGTAATTATGGTAGATTCATATTTTTCTTCTTGCCATATGCTCTTTCTGCCTGTTAAACATGATTAGTTTATTTTGACCATGCAAAAGCATATAACTGTCTCATTTGTTCTGTCTATATCTTACTCATGATAAAAAAGGCACATTGCAACTAACGTCTAGGACTAGATTAATTCCTGTGATAATTTCATTGGTATCAGGAGAGCTTTACCAGTTATAGATTGGCCCCATTCATTAGGCTGCCACAAGATAAATCAAGCAGGATAGCCAGTGATGCCAATGTGGTTTTTCCCAAGGCTATACTTCGCGTTTTACAATAGTTTTCTGGGATCTCCTGACATCTGCAAGGGAGCCAGGGCAGGGAGATGGAGTCTTTCAGCTCAGCTTGGGCCGTATGCTAGAGATCTCAGGGTCAGGAAGAGCAGTGTGTATCCAAATGATGCCTGTCAAAATGAGAGCAAGGTGCCTCAAAAGAGATTACCTACTTAGAAATTCAATAAGAGTAATGGAAGAAATCTGCTTTCCAATGGTATATCTTGTTTTTCCTTTTCACATCCCTGTGTGTTGTGCTGCTTCTCAGCATGTTGACAAGAAAAAAGTATGTCTCTTCACAGGTTGAAACTACATGCCACTCAAGCCGGAGGAGACTTTTGTTTTATCCCTCAAAGGTTTCTGTCTAGGAAAAAAATGATTACTCAAGATAAAGATGAGTTAAAAGCTATCAGACTAGAATATGTGTATGTATATATATATTTCATATATACACATATATGTGCGTGATGATATATATACATGAACACACACACACACACGTATGCATGCTATAATTTGAGGCTTTAATTGTTAACTTGGGCCTTCTATACAAAACTGAACAGTTTACTTCCCCCGCAAAAATAGTTTCAGCCTAAGCTTGTAACAATGGATTTTACTGCAATGACAGAAGCTGTGGTGATTCCAGAGCATCTGAAGTTAGGAAAAAGATAATAGTGAGCGGGTATCAGTTACTGTGAAAATATTATGTTTTCTCTGACTGGGGCTTTCTCAATGTTAATCAAAACTGCACAAACTGTAGAGTTCCCTTGTCTAGGTTCGGTAGTCCAGATCATTGTAATGCAAAGCGTGACCTATTTATTGCAATATTTCTTCTCAGTGCCTAAGGGTTTTGTCAGCTTGAGCACAACCCACATCCTCACATCGCTTCCTGAGCTGGGATTTTATAAGCATGAAAAGAAAAGGGCACATTCAACTCTTAGACAGGAAACCTGCAAAATAGAATTTGATTGCAAAATAGCAGTCTTCCTTCTGATTCCTAGGAAAGCTGTGTTCAGCAAATTGAGCTGGATATTTCACTGAAGGAGAGAACATTAAACTGAGGCCTTGACCACCTATCGTTAAAGATTCCTATGATGATTTTCACAGGAATAGGTGTGTTAATCTTACTGTCCTGGCCAGACTCCTATGTGCACAGCCATGTGCATATCAAAATGACCTTCTACTTTTCAGTCTGGACAAGGTTAGATGTGGTTCTGATATGTAACACTGAGTTATATCAAGGCTGCTTTCTTCTGTTTTTAAAGTTTTAGCTTTTGAATGGGAGTGGACTGACTCCAGAATTTATATCATGAATTCAGAGCTTTGCAATATTTGAAAGAAAGTTTCAGCTTAGTTTTAATAGGTTTTAAAGTAGTTTATGAGAGCAATAAAGAGCATGGCTCTAAAATCAGTGTCTGAAATTCTCTCTCAGTCCTACTCTTTC